ATAGCTAAACAAAGGGTCACATTACGGATCTCCGTGGTGATCTCTGTGATTTGTGTTTTAATACGCTTTGTAAACGGAGAAACCTTACTGTAATATATCTACTGTCATTTTTTGATAATTACGTGGAAGCCACTCACATGAGTTTAAATTATTCCAGTAGATTGATTTTAGCATTTAAAGCACACTGCGCTGATCTTCCCACCCAGAGATGTCCTTGCGAGGATGATACGTAGACGAAACCCACTGCAGAGTGCTCAAACAAGCTTTATTTCGGATCATTGATATATTTTTGTGATTCGCTGCTTAAAGTCTGACTTTCAACCAATCACATTCCAGCAGGTGCGTTTTCTTGGATTACGCAGTGTTTTTTCAAGACTAACAAATGGTGTCTAAGACAAAAATCAATAGACGACAAGCGCCAAATGCACGACTGTAATCGCAAATAAGTGCGGAAGACGGACAGAATTTTTTGTGGAACTGGCATTTTGTCATCGCATCGACGAGGGCACAAATGATTGCTGCGAAGCGGCGCAACCAGCACACTGTTTGGCGCGGTTCTTTTTCACGAACGCGAGGAACTCCGCCTCGCTGATCTCCCCGTCCTTGTTCTCGTCCAGGCCGTTGAGGAAGTCGGTGACGTACTCCTTCGGCAGACACCCGATGCAGCCCTCGAAGAAGCTGTAGAGTTCCTTCGTGCTCACCGATCCTGACTTGTCGGTGTCGAGGAAGCCGAAAAGCGACCGAGCCATGTCTTCGTTCCTTCGGACAGAAAAACAGTGTGACATTTAACACATTGGAGGCCTCCTTTTTATGGTGAAAACTTACTGAAGGTTTTGGAACAGGTAGGCTAGCAGTCCATTTCGGTACTCTTCGAAGGAAATTTTTCGGTCACCGTCTTTATCGTAGCGCTTGAAAAAGCACTGAAAGAGAGTAAATTACACCATGTAGTGGGTCTGTTCATTGTAAACTAGGTGTAAATCTATCTGAAACCAACGTTGATGGCGCAGGAATGGACTTGGTGACCTTGGACGCTGGCCTTGAGGTCAGCCTCAGTGATGAAACCGTCACGGTCACGATCCAATTCGTCGAACTGCAACCGCATGAAGTCACCCCGAGCGAAAAGATTGCTCATGTTGCCGCTGGCGTGGCGAGAAGACGTGTGCTCTTTCGAGGCGTCACCTACGACTCTTATACACCGTTGGCGTAAGGCGCACTTGGTGGTGGTAGCTGCGAACCGCTTGACCCAGGTCGAGGTGTCGTAGTTAACCCCAGCCGGGTTTGCGCATTCGCTGCAGCTTGAGGGTGCACTTTCGTCTAACGCATTTCCGTGTCAGTGAATCGAAACTCGTTGATACTGTAAAAGGTGGCGAACAAAGCTGCCCGTCGACTGCTAAAATGTATCACATTACAGCAGTTGCCATGGTATCACGATTGTTTTACTGTTCAGGATCGGTCATTAGGCGCCAAATTCAAATTCACATGCTCATTAATCATTTCATCATGTGGCAGCGTGTCAAAATGTTTCCCTTTCAACCTGACCTTTTGTTGCATTCCAAATTAGTTGATTTTGGTTCCTTTTTCTGGGCATGACTTTGAGAACTCGGATTGCTTACGCATGTCGTCAATCTACAGACCGAATATTACGCATTTGGGTTAAGTTCGTAAACTGGCTAAACCGTACAGAGCACTTATCGTGAGGGAATTAAATAAGCCAAAAATAGCTCATTTTAAATGTGCTATTCAAATTTGCTTCCTTTGTGAAAGTATAAAAAAATTGCTGAACTTTGGGTGTTAGTTCGAAGCTTAGACAAATTTTTTCGATTGATTTTTGATTGTTGCGTCTTGGGTTAATTTCATTGGCTGCACATGAAGTGCGAACATTTTGAAAAAAAATCAATATTATCTTGCAGAATTTTAAATGGAATGAATTTTCATCGGGTGCCTTGTTGGATGTAAACAAAACTGGCGAATTCCTGCAACGCCGACTCGATTAGTGCAGAGGTCGCCTGAAACGCCGCCACGCCGTCCTCCACACCTGCCGATAACTTCGCAGATGTGTGCGAGGGTTTCTGCGCAGCTGTGAGTCCGTGAGAAGACCGCTCGCTCAGTTGAGCCTTTATCAGAGTGCAACTCGGACGCGAGTGCCCAGTTGAAATGCCGTTTAAGCTTGGAAAGTCGTCCGAAAAGAAGCCGTCGACGTCTTCTGGGGTGTAAGTTGTCTCATCCAAGTTAACTTTTCAACATATAATTGAGTTTTGTGAGCAAGTGGTATTAACTCGTCTTGATATCTCAAAAGCAATTTCCAGGCCGATTTAAAATCCGTGCAAACAGTGTTTAAATAATGTCTAAAAATGGAGATTCTAAGCTATCGTTAAATTGTCAACTCGTGATTTCTGCGTTGGTGAACCCTGGTTATGGAAATAAAACACCTTAGACTGCTTCGTAAACCAGAAACGCTTTGTTTGAATTTAAGTAAGCGCCAGCAGCCCCCTATCGATTCAAACAATCCAGAAATTTGGTAAAGAGTCGAAAGTGTCATTCTGGCTAGCGTAATACTTGCCAAGTCATTTTCAACATTGATTCACATCGTCGCTTCTGATGACCCCAAAGTGTTTCAGAGTCGACTGCTTCTGGCAAGAAATATCGATCGACATAAATACCTCGTCCAATCAGATTGTTGGCAAGTTTTTGAGCGGGGGGCAAGGGATTACGGAAGGTGACTGAACTGATCATGATTTTGTGCAGAAAACAAGCACTAAAGCGGCGCATTCCACAACGTTTCGGTTTTTTAGCGTTGATAGTCTGCGCGAAGTCTTCCGAAAGTTCGACACGAATAACTCTGGTTTGCTAGAGGTTGATGAGATTCAGGCAGCGCTGGCGGAGCTTGCAAAGCCCACGAACACCTCGCTGATTGCGATGATCCTGCAGCTGAAGGGTCTGTCGCGTGGAGTGGCATTCGAGGACTTCCTGCATGTCTTCACTAACATCGCCTTTGGCTAGACTCGAAACGTCCTCTTAACTGCCGAATCAGTTGTGCTAACAACTTAACACTAACCTGACACATTAATCTGCTAATAATTGAATTCAGCGGCCGCGTGTTAAATCGACATTAAACCGTCTTGCATTTACTAACCGGAATTAAAACAAACTTTGGTTTACGCGTGCTGGTTAAATGATTACAAAAAACGGGTTAATTTCCCAAATTGGAAATCGTTTTGATTTTGCGGTTAGCATTAAGCCGTCGTCACGTATTTGGTGGGTTAAATACCCCCTCGACAAATGTGACAGTTGCGTTCTGTTAGCCGCAAAAACGTATAAGAAATTATGCAAATACAAAAGCGAAACTGAGACGTCGACTGCCACAAAACTGTGTCTGGCTGCATAATTGGCAGAAAGGGATTGGTTGGATGACAAACCCAATGACAACAGCAGCTTCCTAAAATCAAATAACTGTGGTAATTTATTGATTGTTGCCTGATTGAGGGGATAGACGATTGCAATGACTTAACTTGCTTTGCAAATAACGCCTCTTTGAACAAAAAAACAGCTGCACTCAGGCACAAACGTCCAACGAAGACGTCGTGCGAAAGATGCTGGCACAGTTCGATGGCAACAGGGATGGAAAACTCACTTTGTCGGAGCTTCGCCATGTCGGACACGACTTCAGCATCCCCTACGGCGAGGTACGTGCTTTATCCTTCGACAGGCACTCTGCAGTTTAGTAGAGTTTTGTTGCTTGTTTGCTCAGAGCAGGTTGTAGCGGATTCTAATCTGCGTTACTTGAGGTGACTGTCGAGATGTACACCACTCACCAGTACTTCTAACAAAAAGCACAAGACTGTCCACAATTATTTATTTGAATTAACTGAAATCCGGTTCATATTATAAGGCAACTGTAGGTGATAAAGTGTTTGATAGAACTGTATATGAAATCAATAAAGTGTTTGGTGGAACTGCAGGCAAAATCGATAGAGTGTTTGATGAAACTTTGGAAAATTGAAAGAAGCGGTAATTCATGGGAATATTTGATTTAATTTCGCATTGGAAATGCACTTTAAAATCGCTAGCAAGTAAGTGGAAGGTGAACAGCCTCTGATTCACGGGATGTGCGAAAACAAAAAGCTTTTTTTCGCGTGGTTTTCAGTTTCTCAAATGGACACGAACGCCGACGGGTGAGGAGCTCACTGAACTTCCCATCGACACCGTGCTCGAGTGTATCAAGGTCTTCGTCACGCGCCAAATGAAGCAAGTTTGTTTGTCTTTTTTTGCTTTTAACTCCAAGTGTGCGTGTGTTCCCGCACCCACAACCCACCAGGAACTCTTACACCTTCAACAGTCTAGTATAAACTCAGAAATTAAGCCTGAATTCTTCCAAACCAGACACTCACCGATAATAAAATGAAGTTCATTGTTTATAATTTCGAATAAATATTCTGAAAGTAGTTTCTATTTTACATCCATGTTTCGTTTTATATCTGCAAATATTGCTCTAACTTAAATTCAGTGCATTGGCGGTTTTTGGCAGAGGTATGTCACCTTGCCTCATTTATTTCGTCCACTTATTGTCCAGGTCGAAAGGCGCACAGGATCTCTTCAAAGTGGCCGATGTTGACCAATCAGGGAAGCTGAGTCTGTCGGAGATAAAGCGCCTTGTAGAGGTGTGCGATTATGACATCGACGACGAGGAGCTGCAGGCCATCTTCCGTCGCGCCGACGCCAACAACGACGGCGAACTCGACGACAACGAGTTCGTCGAACTCGTCAAGTACTTCATAGAAAACAAGTGATCGGAAATGCTCACTTGGATTAACAGTGGAAAGCGTCTTACGTGTTCAATGTGCTTAGCAAAATAAATATTTATTTGAAAATGACTAATACGGTGTCCACCTGGTGGTGGTTGTCGACAGAAGATTGAAGTTTTACAGAATTTCGCAGGAACTACGAAATGCCACCTTATGATAGTAGACAGTCCAGCAGTCAGAGTAGTAGGGTAACCCTCTAATTACCCTTTGCACAGCAGCATTTCGACCATATATTTTGAAAAACGAAAATTTGTTTAATTTGCTACAAATTGTGGGTTCAATGCAACGCACAAATCGAAATGTTGGCCTTGAATAGCGCTAAATTCGTGGATAGGTTTTCAAAATCGCCTTCTACACCAATCAGTATGAATATTTTCTTTCATCGGAACGAGGTTCACCGCTGGACGCAATTATGGCACTGACGGTGTGGTCAGCTGTTCTTAACAAAAATTAATCCTTAACTTGAGGTTGCACAGTTCGCGCTTCAAGGCTTCTTTTAATTTTTGCGAACAAATTTAAACAAACAAATTTGTTGGCGTTGTGGTAACTCAAGATGCGTTTAAACAACACCCAGCTGACAGTTTGAGGACATGAGGTGCATTCGCTTGGAAATCCGGCACGCTCTTTTGGCAAACACTTGACAATTAGTCCTCAGATGACACGATAATGTGGCGTCGGTAACGCGCAGGTCAAACCGACCGATTTCGCGAACGCATTCGCAATGCCGTGTCAATAAGCAAGAGGTTGAACTGAAATCAGCCAATGGGCATTCTGGATTGACTGGTGGTAGCTTTTAATGCGCATTCGCGAATTGTCTGGTTAAAAACCAGCTCAAGCACCGGCACTGATCGTTAAAACCATCAAGTTCTGGAAATTTGTCAAATGCAGTAGTACGATTAGTTCCGTTCAGTCGTTAGGCATGGTTTTATCGAACCATTTTCATGTTTATCTCGCGGATGTCACCATAAGAACTAGAATTTAGATTTATTGAGGCCCTGTGTTGCAAGCATTGAGGAAATTAACATAACACCGGCTGTAAAGAGCCACCCAATTTAGACACAGCATTGTTAGGGCAAAGGAATCACCTCGCTCAGCCAGACAATCACGCAATGAGGCCGCTCCCTTTTTACTCCCAAGTGGCTTACAAAGCATGTTTATTAAGGCCACATTAAGTGTGCTTTAAAACAACGCCGAATCGCGTGCGCTCACACACGCACACACACGCATTCACAAATCCATTTTGCCATCTGCGTAGCGACACTGTTCCAGTTTGACAAAATGAGAGCGGCTTCGCTATTGCAAGGATGCCTCCAGCTTCTTCAACTTGTCCACGTCGGTCTGTGCCTCAGACCGAAGCTGCAGCTTCTCTTCATGTACGCCGACCATCAGTGCACGCCCAGTCCCAGGTTGTTCAGGCCACTTGAAACCATCTCCAAGACGACCGCATACGTCACGTCGCTTGAACCGAGAGCCCTGCTTTCCAGGGAGATCCAACTTATGGTCACTCAAATTGACGGTTGCAACGCAAAGGAGTTTAACCGCGGATTCCGGATCTTCGAGGCGCTCGATGCGATGGCCGATGTGGCCAACAGGTCGAGGTGCTTCACGGTGTTCCTTGGACCTCCGCTTGGCGCTGATTGCGTGGTCACCTCCGACTGGACCATTTACACCTCCGTCGACACCCCCAGCTTGTTGAGGCCCTACCAGATCAGCTACAACTGCCCGTCATTCAGTCTGGCGAGGCAATTCATTGAGCGCAATCGCGTCGATCAGTACATCGCTGAGGAGCCCAACTACGCCTCGGTGTTCATCACGCTGAATTTCTCCGCCACGGCACACGCCCTCAAATCGCTGCTGCAGTTCCAGGGCTGGAGGCGCGTTTTTCTGCTGTTCGAGATCAGCGACAGCATGACATCGCTTCTGTGGCTCACGAATTCGATCAAGTTGGCGTTTAAGGACGAGCAGAGATTTGGACCCTCTGTGGACATCGTCAGCTACCTTGGCATCCGCGAAAACATGAACTACACTGCGCTGCTGTACCATTGGATTAAACGCACTGACGGTCAGTACCCTCGTGACATTTCGCAGTTTGTCCTAAGGACAATTCACTTGTTACCTTACACTTCTCAATTCGTATTTTAACTTGTTCAGTCAATAATGAGGCTGCCGTAGCCAAAATTGGCGTTTTATGTAATTTTTACGCATTTTCAGCAA